TGTCTCTTCTTTTTATAAAGGGGTCGGGGTGGGGCCGGTCTGGGGGCAGGATCCCGGTCTCCAGGACCGGGCAGGGCACCGGGGGCCCGGTGTCATGCAGTCCTGCCCACGCCTGGCCTGGGACCACGCCTGTTACTTAAACCCGGCGGTTTCCCGTAGGCCCGCGTCCATCTCTCCGTTCTGGGGGAGAGGAGAGAGGCCAGGAGAGGGCCTGGGCGGGGAATGGGGCCGACCCCGGCCGCGCCGTCTGCACACGGGAGCATGTGCATGGGGCGTGTGCGTCCGCGGGCCGCAGTGGGGGGTGCGGGGGACAGGGGTCTGGGGGAGGCCCCCGCCCAGCAATAAGGCCCCTGAGCCCTGTGTGGCGAGTGTGGCCACCCTGCCCAGGGCGTCCCTGGTCGGCGCCTCACTGTGACCCCCACCCCTGCTGGTCAGTAAATTCTCCAGAAAGCTCCAGCCTCTGCCTCTTCTTCCACGTCTGAGCCTGTGATCCCTTCAAGCCCCGCCCCTTGCGTCACCATGAGACGGACACTGAGGTGTGGTGTCAGTTTTTATTGGATTCTGGAGACCCCAGCTCAACCCAGGGAGAGTGGGGCTCCCCTGGGCAGCCCCCAGCACCGACGACCCTGGTCAGGTCAGGTGTCCAGTCCCGGTGTGGCCCCCACCAGGGCAGGCACAGATGTGTACAGGGTACCTCCTCTTCCCCAGTGCAGAGGCGGGCAGCTCTGACGGGCAGCACGGGCCTGCTCTGCTCACCCCTCACGGATCCCCGACTGTGCCAGGCCTTCCCCTGGCTAGACGCCCCCACTGCAGCAGCCAGCTCTCAGCTACCCCTGGACCGGGGGGCTGTGCCTTCTTCCCGCTCTGGGCCTGGCTTGGAGACACGTCCCCTAGGAGTGTCCTGGGGGTAGCCCCAGCCTGACCCTCCCCAGCCAAAACCACAGCCTGGAGGGGCAGATTCCCCCCCACAAAGACGCCACAGCCGCAGCTGGTCCTAAGTAGAGGCCTTTAATGCTGCCCTGGCCCTGAGCGGAGGAATATTAAAAACTGCCGGGAGGTGGGCGGCTGCAGAGCCCCCTGCTGGCCGCCAGGAGACGCGGGCGCCTTGGTGTTTCCTCTGGCGAAGCCACCAAGCGGGTGTGCCCCAGGGTCCCCAGCTGTCGAGGCCCAGCTCACTTGGTCCGTGCACTCAGGAGGAGGGGCTGGCCACTGCCGGGCCCGGGTCCCTCGGCCTTCAGCCACTGCATCTTCTGCTGGTGCTGCCGGATGGCGTCCTGGACTCGGGCGTCCATCATGGCCTCGGTGAGGACACCGTCCTCGGAGGCATAGGCCATGGCCTAGCAGGGAGAGAGCGCTGAGGCAGGGCACCCAGAGGGGCTGCCTGCCAGAGAAGGGCGTCCCGGCCCCAGGCTTTTGGAGCCCACCAGGAGCTCCCTGCTCTGCAGGCGGGGGTGACAGTAGCCAGCCAGCCCCACCTTCACTGCTGCGCCTCCCACCCCCCATGAGCCGCTTCTTGGAGAAGCCCTCCAGGATCCCAACGCCTCCAGTGGGCGGGGAGGTGGGGCAAAGCCCAGGATGGCGGGTCAGCATCCTCCCTCAGCCCTAGGCCTCAGAAAGGGCCCGGCCTCCTGGCAGAATGCACACACCTACGTGCTGATGGCGCATGTCTGGCCTCCCCGTGCACACAAGCGTGCCCACACACTCACGTGTACAGGTGATCTGCAACCCAGAGTCTCCGCACTGCCCACCCCTGCCCCGCCCCGGCTGACACCAGCCCTGCCTTCTCGCTCCACTGAGTCTCAAAGACTTTCTAAAATTAGATCCAGGCCAGTGCTCAGGAAGCGGCCCAGCCCCCACCACAGACCCCGAGGGCCCCTGCTTCGCAGCCAGTAGAGCAGCCCTTAGAGTCAGGGCACAGATGACAGAACTGCTATGGGCCACTGGGGGAAAGTTCACTCTCACTCCAAGGGGAGGGCAGCCCCCACCGCAGAGAGCTCCCAAGGAGCCCCCAGCAATTCTGGCAGGTGAGAGAGAGGCCCCACCAGGCTGCACTGCCCATGAATGCCAAGCAGCCATCGTCCACCAGGTCCTGCCTCTCACAGGGTCTCCACTATCTGCGAACTCCTTCCAGAACCGGGGGCTGCCAAGGGCCAGGCCGCTGCCTGTCACCTCTGCATACCCAATGCCCAGGGATCCTGGCCCCAAACGGGCGGGCACCTGGATGGAGGCACCAAACTTTTGCTAATCAGGCCCCACTGTGGTCCACAGCACCTCGGATACCAGGCAGGTCACCTTTGGGTGACAATGGGCTGCCATCCTGCCCAGATGACCCAGTACCCCACCTGCTTCCTGTTCTTCAACCTGTTGCTCTGACCATCGGGGCCGACATGTCCTCCAAGGGGGACTGGACCCCAACTGAGGGAGGGCTGGGGTTAGAGATGGCCAAGACCCCTATGATGTCGGGTGCCCCCCGTGTGATATGAGCAGAAGGGGACCTCACCTGTACAGTCCCCTCCCCCAAACCCACAGCCCCAGTCCAATCACAAGGAAGTACTGGACAGACAAATGTGGGGCATTCCACGTTAACACCCGACCAGCACCCTCAAACCTGCCAGGATCATCAAAACCAAGGGACAGCTGAGGAACTGTCACAGCCCAGAGGAGCCTGAGGAGGAGACGAGCTGACTAAATGTAATGAGCACCCTGGGTGGCCCCGGGGAAGGTCAAGTCCGAGGTGGAACAGTGATGGGGCGTACGTGCCTCGTGATGACACGCTCACAACACGGTGGGGGTGACAGGTGCACGGGAGCCCTGTGTGCAATCCTTGAAACTTCTCTGTGAACCTGAAATTATTCCAAACTAAAACAGTTCCATTTTTTTAAAGAAAAGGGCATGCTGTGGACCTGACGTATTCACTGGGGAATTCCACCCAAGGCCTAAGGAACACCAGTCCCCGGGGGTCTTCCAAAAAGCTGAAGCGGGAGGAAACACTTCCTTCCTGGCTCGCTCCAGGAGGCCGGGATGACCCGACGCCAAAGCGAGGCGACCGCAGGCCAGCGCCCCTCGTGAACGCAGATGCAGAAGTCTCCGACAAAGGCCAGCAAAGCACACGCGGCAGCACACTGAAGGGTGACACACTGTGACCAGGTGGGGTTCGTGCCAGGGTTCAGCACAGGACAATAAGTCAATCCCCAAGATACACCACACTCTCAAAGGATGAATGCCAGAAACCACATGATCATCTCAACTGATGCAGAAAAGGCATGTGGCAAAATTTCTTGATGAAAATGCTCAATAAACTAGGAATAGAAGGGTATTTCTTCAGCGTGTCAAGGACCACGTATGAAAAGCCCACAGCAAACGCATCAGTGGCGAAGGACGGAAAGCAAATCCACTCTCGCCACTCGTGTCCAACAGGGCGCCGCAAATTCCAGCCAGAGCGATTAGGCAAGAAAAAGAAACACAAGGGATCCAGGTTGCAAAGGAAGAACAAAACTACCTGCTTTACAGGTGATACGATCTCACATATAGGAAACCCTAAAGACTCCCCCAAAAAATCTGTGTTAAAAAGTAATAAGTTCAGCAAAGTTGCAGAATACAAAATTAACACACAAAAAACCTTTTGTATTTCTGTATAGAACCAATGATCAATCTGGAAAGGAAATCAAGGAAACAATTCCATGTACAATAGCCTCAAAAGGAATAAAATCCTTAGGAATTAGCTAACAAGGTGAGACTCACGCACTGAAAACTACACAATCTTGCCGAAAAGAAATTCACACACCAAAACATAGAAAGTTACGTGTTAATGCCATGGGAAACGGTACTGTTACAAAGTCAACACCACGCCAAGCAATCTATCGATACAATGCAATCCCTGTCAAAATTCCAATGATTTTTTTGCAGAAATAAAAAACCCATCCTAAAATTCACACCCTTAAGGAACCCCAAAGCACCAAAGCGATCTTGAATAAGAACAAAGCTGGAGGGCTCACATTTCCTGATTTAAAAACTTACTACAAAGCTACGGCAGTCACAACACTGTGGGCCTGGCAGGGAGACAGAGTATGAACCTACAGAACAGACGAGAGGCCAGAAATGACCCCGCACAGGGCCCAGTGATTTCCAACAAGGACAAACAGTTTTCGACAAACGGTGCTGGAACGACTGTATATCCACGTGCAAAAGAATGACCTTGAACCCCTACCTCACACTACATCCAGAAATTAACTCAGCATACGTGAAAAACTCTCAAACTATAAACATCTCAGAGAAAAGAAACAGGAGAAAATCTTCTGGACATTGGATTCAGCAATGAGTTCTTGGCTACTAAAAGCACAGGTGACAAAAGAAAAATACAGAAAAATTGGATGTTATCCAAATAAAAAACTTTTGTGCATTAAAGGGCGCTATTAACAGTAAAAAAAAAAGCAACCCACAGAAGGAGAGAAAATATTCGCGAATCACATATCTGATGAAGGATTAAATATCTGGAACACACCAAAAAAACTACAATTCGACAACAAAAACCGAATTCAAAAATGCGCGGAGGACTTGAATTGACATTTCTCCAGGGACTCAGAGGGTGAGAAGCACGCGAAACGATGCTCGATGTCACGGATCGCCATGGAAATGCGATTCGGGTCACGGCGAGACAGTACTGCGCACGCGTCAGGACGGCCACCGTCGGAACAGGAAGGCGACAGGCGCTGGGTCAGACGCAGGAACCCGGCCCCGTGCACCGCGGCTGATGCGAAAGTGCCCTGAAGTGTGCCCCCCGCTGTCCTCTCCCTGGGGCTGGCCGGTCAGAGACCGGTCACCCTGGTGTGAGGACCAGACCCCCGGGCGGAGCGCCCCTCGGGCCCGGGCGTCCACTCACTCACTGCCTGTCACGCTCGTGTGGCATCCAACCGTCCCAGCTCTCCCTCTGCCAGGCACGCAGCCGGCCTGTCACCTGGCCTGGCCAAGATGCGAGAAGAGGCGAGGGCGGGTCTCAGCACAAACATGGAGCCGCAGGGCAAGGCCCTTCGCTGGGGCCGCATGTGTGTGTCCCCAGTGCAGCCCCCCACCCCCCCGGCGTGGGGCGGCTGTACTGGCGCCGTGGCCTCTGAAGAAGCATCTCGGTGCAACGCAGTCATGGAGTGGGGTCATGGCGGGCAGCTCCGTCCTGCAGGACCGGCGGCCTTGGTAGAGACGCCAGAGCGCTGTCTCTGCCGTGAGGGCACAGCAAGCAGGTGGCCGTGGGAAAGCCAAGAGGAGGGTCCTTGTCAGACCCCCGCCATGCTGGCACCCTGGCCTGGGGCTTCCCACCTCCAGAGCCATGAGAAGTGAACATCTGCCTGGGCGCCAGGGCTGTGGCATCGGTGACGGCGGCCGAGCCAGAGAGTGTGCTGTGCTCTGACCGCTGGCTGTGGGAACAGAACCACCCTCTCTGGCCTGGGTCCCGAGGACGTGTGGGGACAGGTCTGCGACCTGGTGCCCTTCATGGCAGCCGTGACCCACCTCACCCCAGTGCGGCCCCATGGGCCCGGGCTGCGACGTTTGACAGACGTGCACGCAGTTAATAAAAGGCGCACTCGTGTAAAAGCACTTCTAAATTTACGGCGCTGGCTGTCACACGACCTGAGACAGGTACGACGCAGGCTTGGAGCCCCTCCGCCTACAGGGCTTCCTTCCCTCCTCGGCAACCGAGGGGCGAACGCCTCCGGGGGGTCAGCGGCACCCGCCCTGGGCACCCTTGCCACTGCTGCTGGGCATTTCAGAGAGGAAAACCTGGGTGTCGGGGGGTGACATGTGCTCTGAGCCACACACGGAGCTGAAATCAAGTCACACGGTCGAAGCATCCCCGAGACCACAGCGAACCCGTCCTGAAGGCCAGAACGTGGACACCTTCCGCACAGACAGACCTCAG